TTACAATGGTGTTAGTGGTCTGCGCTGGGAACTACTGAGAGATGCGCCACGGCCAAAAACGCACGTACGTTCAGCAATCAAGCAACCTGCCTAAAGGCTGGAAGCTCTTGCGATCGGCAAGGTGCAGTGTAAGCCAAGACAGTCGTCCCGGAAAGCTGGCCAGTGGATGACGAAGTGGTAAACCAGGTCAGTCGTCCCCACAACGCCCGGCTGGGCAGTACCGTATCAGACATGGACGCCGACGACGGGCTGGGTTACGTTCCGCATAGCCAACCCATAAGACCAGGCTGTATGAGAAGAAGGAAATGTCGGAAGCGACAGGAGGCCTGAGGGCGTGTGTCAGGAGTGTAGACGTGCTTCCGGAGAATGGCGCGGTAGAAGTTGAAGACGTCCGGAACATGCTGCAACATGGACCCGACATCAGAGGCGAGCCAGCCTCGCATTGACCGACCAACCAACCAGAGGCGACAATATAGGGCACTGCCGTGAAAGAGTACCTATCCAAAGTAGAATGCTCGCCCCCCTTTGGGAAGTGGGATCCAGGGGCCACGCGAGTGTGCTATGCTCAAGATGGTGGTGTTTAAGGGGGGCGAAAGAGTAAAATGACTTACATATGTAAGCTGGGTTGGGATGTGGTGGGATGGAATGGATGGTGGTCACGTCTCCACAGCGGCCAGATACGCGCCTTGGGTAGTACGTTAGTGTTGTAGCGTTTGCTGCTGCGACCGAGAAGAGAACGAGATCGGAATGCCATCCCGTTGAATGGATTCCCGAAAAGAAAGGAGATGGGCGATGCCATTCTGCAAGTTGGGAGGGAGGGAGGGGGGCAGGGCCACACACAGTCGAAGATGGAGGGGGGGAGGGCGATGAACGATTCAGGGGGTGGGAAAGTGTCCCCGAGTGGACTGCGACTGCGACTGGAGTACCTACCTACATAGGTAGTGTGTGTTGGAATGAATAAGGGTGGAAAGGTGGTGGGTGAGAGTGAGGGTGCGGGTGAGGGTTTGGGAGGGGGGAGGAATGGGGAATGGATGACGATGAGCGTTTGCTGCACGAACGGGTAGCAAGGATTCCAAGGCAGCTCCCGCAGTGTGAAAAGGAAATACAGCGGGCCAGTCCCGGTGTCCCCTAGTCCTTGTCCATTGTCCCCCTGCCACCCCGTTGCCGTGAGCCTTTTCCTTCTCAATCAAGACTTGCACGATTTCGACCTCAGACTGTCTGTCTGTCTGTCTGTCTGTCTGTCTGTCTGTCTGTCATAGCCTGTCCAGTTGCTCACGGATATACTATGTACATAGGTATGCTAAGAGACCATACGGGAGACCACGTACCGGAAGCAATGGAAGATGGCAAGTACTTGAGAAAGGCGCCAAAACATGGCAAATTTGTCCAGAGGCTTGGCGGCTTGCGTGAGACGCCTCAAAGTCAGTCAGTCCATGGTAAAGTACCTGCTGGATGTACGAATATGCAAAGCGCCCCCTCCCTCGTCTGCTTCAGTCAACCAACCCTCCCTCCCTTCCCTCTACCCCAGACCATCGGGCGCCGCAGCGGCCGCATCCACTGATTTGACAGCCACCCACCATACCTACATAGGTACCTACTCGTAGATAGGTAGCAGCGGCATGGGCTCGACACCACCCATCCACAGCGGCAAACTGGCCATCTGTTCCCGAGGCGAAGCCGGCCCAGGCGCAAGGACCAGCTTTGTATTTGTGAGGATAGGACGGGGAGGGGCAGTCGCCCTGCGTGTTTGTGTTCATACGGCCCCCCCTCCTCTCGTGGGGTTTCAGCCGACCGTACGTGGAACCCGATGGCATCGCCGACTTTGTTGCTGGAACCGGAACGGTGACGGCAGCGGTGACGGCAGCACCTCAACACCACCACGCCCAGTACCGGCAGCTTGCTCTGTCAATGGAGACCAACGACCGACTACTCGGTTGCTGCCGCGCATGTTGGCACTGGTACGGCTCGTTCGTAGGGAATCCGTCTTGGGGGAGTGTAATCCTTCCCAACCGTGCCGCACTCGGCCATCCTCGTTTGTCGTCGTTTTGGAAACCCCCTTTCTTCATCGTCTCCCGTCGTAACGCTTCTTTCTTCTTAGTATCAACCCGTCCCAAATGCACGGTAAGGGAGCAACAACGCTCGCGCTGCCACACCATCAAAACCTATCCCTCCATCCACCAGGCTAAACACCCCCCGCCGACCAACCGCAGGGCCGTGCCATGCTCAGTCCATATGTACCAATGGTGGGGCTTCATTGAACCCCATGATGTCCTGTAGAGATTGACTTGCGCGCCGTCGTGAATGTGACGACACGAACCAATCACACTCGTCCTTCTTGGAGAGCCAACAGCCAAACCGTCTCTAGTCCGTCTCTTATGGCTTGTCGTTTCCCCCCTCCTGTGTGAGTGTGTGGGTGTGCCGTGCTGGCTCACTCCTGGCTGAAAGCCCGCTAATGGCGCTAAGCTCAACCCTTCACACCATCTTTCTTAGGCGGGCGACGCCCCCTCATTGTTCCCAATCGCTAGATAAAAGCTCCCGAGGCCTGCTGGAATTTCGTGCCTAGAGTGGCTGGGGCTCAGTGGCGCTCTGTAGATATCGAGTCATATGCCACCCACGAGTCTTGCTTCGCATATCACCAATTCTTTATCCGATCAAGGGCTGGGGAGAGCCGGTGAGAGGAACGCGTCCCGTAGCGCGCGACCTCGACGCGAGACGACAAGAAGTAAGGGCATGGCCATTATGACCACTTGAGAAACAAGCGGGGAAATGAGACCGAAGCCACGAATGGCGTTTGCTGATTCTCGTGACTAGTCATACCTGAAGAACCTCTGCCTGGTGGAAAACCCATATTCGCTCTCGATGCCAAAGACGCACACATCCCAGCCCCTTCGCCACGTTGAGTTGAAACGCGTCAACTTGTGGAAGAAGATTTGTGTATATGCCAAAGCAAGACCGCTGCAGAGACACGAGTAAGCTGAAGTTTTTTTTTTTTTTTACCTTTCCTATTTCGCCTCTTGTATTCTCTCTCGTTTGCTGTCGTGGGGCAGACGCCGAGACGGAGCTAGTGAAGCACCGTCTCTGTGCAAGTGCCATGCTGCGATCCCGATGTCAACGCTGCTCGACTGTATGGCTCATTTCCATCGCCGCCATTATTGGGAGCCGGCTATCAGTTAGCACCGAGTTTCAGCTGTGGCGCATCTTCATATCGTCCGGGCTGCGATTGCTGACGACAGGCCAATCAGCAACGACCCTTGTCGACATGAGAGGCGTCCGTGATGGCCGTCAGCGATGGAGATCCATGCGATGATAGCTACCTACTGGTTTAGCAGGGTCCTCGAGTTCCCAGTTGCATGCTCCAATGTCGCCTAATGAGAGATGATGCGCGCCGAGTTGCTTTTTGCGTCCGATGCAAGATCAACTCTGGCCTGTCGTCCGTCCACTTACACAACGGCCGGCCGAGTATGCCATTGCCAAGGTCTCGGATCCACGCAGGCCCTTCGCACTGGCCAGGACGAACAGAACCGTCGGCAATCGCATGCACATATGTGACTTCCCATTGCCAGATCCGTGCCACCATGCCCATACTTGCAGTACCAGGGCGGCCTGGTGTACTAGCCACTTGGTGTTCCGCATAGCAATCGTCTGTGGGCTGAAATCTGCTGGCGACCTCCTCGACAAGACGGGGTGACAGGTAGAGTCCAACGCTTTGGGACGATGGAGCGCGCGCGCGGGAGAAGAGGGGGAATCTTGCACACCCAGGGCTCCTGCACAAACAAGACCCGGTCATCGTCGACACAATAGCAGCAAATGAGCACAGCCGGCCTGCTTGGCTGCAGTCTTGTGCATTGTCCTTGTCCTTGTCCCACCTTTTCGGTCTGCTAATCGTCGACGGTAGTATTTCAGGGTTGTTGAAGATTGCGACAACCCATGTGACGAAGCCGTTTGTGTCGGTACGGATACAGTGCTGTGCAAAGGTTTTACCAAGGGGACTCCGAGGAGCCCTGGTATTCCCCTCCAGCCGATGGGTGTCTGTGGGCAGTCCCCCATCCGCAAAACTTCCCGAACTCGAGGATGATGACGAAATGTCTCTTGCCTAGCCACCCTAGGTGATTCTGGCCGCCCCCCTCCCTAACGTGGCGCGTGATGTGATAAATGGGGCCATTCTCACCCTGGTCATCGAAAAGAGACTTAGTGGCCGACGTGCAGGAAGCTCTGGTCAAGAGGAAGCCGCGGATAATTGAGGAAAATAGGGGCTGCAGGCTGACCTCATATGTGTCAGAGCCGTGTACGACAATGGGCCTTGTCGAGTCCGATATCTGCTTTATTGAGTCCTCCGCGTCATGTCATGGGCGTCTCCTGCTGAATCGCGCCGAAATGTCTGTTGATGCATCCTAGCAGGCAGTCAGCCCATCGGGCCTTGGAGCCTGTCTCGACTGACCCGTCCAGTTCCGTCCCCGCTCGCCGATGGACGGCATCAACATGGAGAAGAGGGAGAGATATAGAAGCAGAGAAGTTTGAGTCTAAATTAGTGTTCAAATTCGTGACGATCAAGAGGCACCACGCGAGTCGGGTCGCAGACGCAGACACAGACTGGGCCCTAAGCCACTCGCTTTTCTCTCGTGTAAGAAGGCCGTTGTCTTGCACAAGTCAGAAGCTCCAAGAAAGGCACGACGTTCGGCTAGCTGGAGCATTATGGCGGAGACCTTCCTTGATCCCATCAGTTTCGCCCGCCTTCAACCGTACCTATTGCTAGCAGGGGTTGGGGTCGATAGTGTGCGCGCCATTACCGGGGTCCAGCCGATGATAAGTCACCATGGCACGCAGGCCGGAGCGATTGGCTAATGAGGTTTCTACCGACAAGAACCGTGTCTGTGCGAGAAAATAAAGGACCTAAGAGCAACGCCAACAGGCCTGATCCGCCAGGTGAGTCAGGCCAGAAGATTGTCGAGGATTTTCCCGCCTCCATTGGCCCTTCACGCATCTTGGACTGACTTCGTGCCTCACATCAGCTGGCGCGGACAGGATATCGAGACGCAGCTGAATGGCCCAACCCGACACGTCTTGTTGGGCTGATTGTCACCAGCAGGGATGTGATTATTGTTGTACCGAGTATCATAATACGCTTTTGGATTCGAGTGCTTCTGGTGTCGCACAAAGTTGGAGCTCGGCTTGTTCAGACAGTTGAAAAAACTCGACTCTGCCTCTGCTTCCGCCTTGCATGGTGGATCCATCTCCAGTAGAGTTGTGCGTCAAAACAGTCGTCTTACCCCTCAGCAGCACCTCGATCGTCGCGATGTTGAGCTCGGAGAAACCGGCAATAAAGTTGGCCGGCATCGCTGCTTTTAGAGCATGCTAGGGCCCTCGTCCAGTCTTTGTTTGACATTGACCTGAAATCGTCAAACAGCAGCCTTGCAGAACGTGTTACAAGCACTGAGGACGGAAGGGTACTTTGATCTCGTCCATTCGTCGCCTTTGAATGGAGACCCAGGTCCAGGGCTATAGTGGTGTGTTCCAAGTTGAGCCGTCTGCATGCTGAATCATTCATACAATCCACAACGGCTCCTCGGCCGCTCGGCCTGCCGCCTTGTCGTCTGTCGTTATGCCGTCTCCTAATCCGAGAAGTCGTCAGGCCGTCAGGCCGTCAGACAGAAAATTCCAACGCTAGTGAAGTCGCCATATGCTCTTGTACCTATCGGTCTAGCTCCCCGAACGGAAAGTTGGGGTCTCCAGCCGCCGTCTGCAAAACGAGATTCTGCAAAGGCAATGATTCATTTCACTGCTGAGGTCGGTAGCAGAGGAAGGTCTCCGCTTGGATCGGAGCTAATGCCACGGCACACCTCTTGTCGAAAACTCTCATGTTCCTGAGGATGGCGAGGGCATTGGGATACTGAGCTCGTCGAATACTGACAAGGGCTACTCAGGTACCGTACAGCGGTCAAGTTGTAGACAAGTGTGAATCTGCGGGCTGTGTCTAAAGCAATAATAGTAAGCGCTGTTCGGTCCAGATTCATGATGGGCTGGCTGCTGTCGTCCGAACCTGGTCTTTTGGGAAGTAAAAGCGGCCAGTGAGAGGAACGACGACTGCTGACCCAAAAGTTGCCAGGAAGACGGGTAGATATTTTGGTCTCCTGCCGAAGAAGCCGGGAAAAGCGCGGATACCACGGGCTGTTTGTTTCTCTTGCAAACTTCCCGCGAAGCGGCTTACGATTCGCCCTGGTCATTCGAGACACCTGTCGTCGCTTCTTTGTCGACAATCAAGTCACTGGTCTAGTCCGACCCTTTGCTTCAGGGGCTTTTATGCCGGATGCCATGCTGTGCGGGCGACGCCTCTGTGGTCCACACAGAGTGCAGAAAAGAGTGTGGGAGTGTCGATTATGGATGTGAGTTTCGGGAGAAGGCCGCGACGCTTGCGGTGATGAGAGAGGGTGGGCGGGTCTACGCTGGACTGCCCCTTACAAGTGGCACACTTCTGAACTCTGAGTGAGTAATGATCGCTCCCGCACCTCATCTACGCAAGCCGGAGAGCCACTCTGCCGCAGGAATCCTGCACACTTCCTTTTTCCATGCAGCCGGTCGCAGCGTCGTTAGATGGGGCAGGGGGCAGTTCTCCGACATGGTCCCCTGTCGACAACCGATTCTGGATAGGTGTTTGAAAAGTCCAGATGGATCGCAAGCCATGAAATATCGCCGAATATCAGAACAGATATGGCCCGCCAGGGCCGGAAGACAACGCATGCTCCAGAGTAAGATCACGCTTCACCGGTGTAGGCCATAGATGGACCGGCCTCGATTGGCATCATCCCAGGCTGTGGCCCTCGGGCAAATCCACTTTGGGCTTCCCATGCAGCGACCACCTCCCCAGGATGTGGGATACGGCATGGAACTGCATGTTTTGAGGCCTACACACGGAGTGAGACTTAAATGCGAGGGCTCCAAGTTCGTCACGCCGAATTCCATGAAGAGAAGCAAGCGATTTGACAGTGAGCAGACGGGGTCGAGGAGGGAAAACACCCCAGAGCCGGCCGCTCTTGTGTCGGGAGCTCCTGTAAGGTGTGGACGGAAAGATCTCGACAGGTCTGGGCCGCGTGAGAAAAGGAGGCATCAGAGGTTGTCCAGTGACAAGGCGTAGTCGAGCCAAGACGGACGCCGAGCCTCGGACCCTGTTCTCCGTCGGAGGTGGTGTTGATGTTAGTGTTAGTGTGAGTAATAGTAGCTTTGGGCGATCCGGAATCTAGGCCTCGTTGCACTGGGGCACTGGCCAAATACCCAACGAGGTTTCTCAGCCGTACGGGCATTTATGTCGACAGTGCGAGAAGACAGTGTTGGGGGCGAACCGGAGCACTTGCGATTCGACGAAGGCCAAGAGATAGATGTTTGGGTTGAGATGCGTATCGGCATGAAAGTTGACGTTATACCGTGAGGGGGGGGGGGGGGGGGGGGGCCAAGGTCAAAGTGATGAGTTACGGCGGGTGGCGCGTCGCGCGGGCCAAGGTAGCCCCGTCGATAAACTATACAAGCAATACGAAAGTGTTTTCAAGATAAGAAAGAGAAGAAGAAGAGCAATGCGGGTTGGATGGTAGATGACGATCCAGATAATGAGAGCCAAGGAAGGATGCTACTCGTAGCCTTATCCCTTTTTTTTTTCTCTTTTTTTTTCTTTTCTTTCTTTGCAACAGGAAGGTTCAAACAGGATGGATTCAACGGATGGAGCAAGGAAGGAGGAGACTGGGCCCTGAGGCCAGGCACGGTCGTGTAAGTGTGTAAGCGGCAGGTACGTAGCTTCTTTCCTGCCTTACACTGCCTGTCGCCGTTGTTGTTGCTTTTCATCCCCTGCTTACCTTCCTTGGGTACTATCCGTACTTCTGCGTGGCATGCGACTGGTAGGTCATGGCTGCCGCGCGCATTCCCCACCAAGGTAGGTAGACAGGGCAGAGCGGGCGCGTGGAAAAGGACCGTCACCGTCTTCCTGCGTGACAGACAGCCGGGTATAGTATCATTCTAAGCATTGGTTGCGAACGAGAGCGACCGGTCAGAGGGAAATGCAGGCGCCAAGTTGTGGGAGTATGCAGCGGGCAGAGGATACATATGGCCAGGCTTGGAAACACGCCTACATGCGGAACACGGAGTAAGTACATGGGTAGGTGGTATCGATGCTGCTAGCGAGTGCAAAAGGAAGTCGTGTCGTCGCCCGGCGGCTTACACAGGAATCCAAAAGGGTCCTTTGGTTTCCGTCTGGAATCTGCCACCTCGGGTGGTCTTCTGCGACTTTCAGACATCGATACGGATAAACGACTAATACGGTCAGTGTAGTCTTGTTGTCTGCCTGCCTGCCTGCCTGTCCTCCGCGTCTCCGATTCCGACGAACCTCACCCCTCGCCCGGTTGAGCTGAGCTGGGCTTGGGTGGGCTGGACTGGAGTAGGCTTTTGTCCATAGCCCTTCTCGTTCACTTATTCCCTCTTCTCTTTTCTCTCTCCCTCTCTCTCTTTCTCTCTCTCTGTCTGTCTCTCTTCCTTTGGACGCGACGAGCAAGTAAGCAACGGACCGGCCGTCAGACGGGCAGAATAGCCGCGATTGGTCTTGGCAAATGGGTGGTGGTAATAGTTCCATCAAACCAGCGAGGGGTCGGCCAGTGGCTGCAACAGGAACAGAAACAGAAACACAGCAAAGCAAGCAAGCACCTGGCTTCTTGGTCGACGACTCCCCAGTGCCGTTATGCTTTTGCTCTGCTGTTAGTGTTGCTGGCGCTGACGCCCGGCGCATGGCATCCCTGTCAATGTCTCCCTGGCGCCATCATTGTCCGTGCTCGTGCCCAGATGAATGGACCCACTATTTCGAGCTCCTCTTTCTGAATAGGCTGCATACTACTGCGTGTTATCGGACAGGGATTGGTGAAGCGGTCATGCTGATGAATGAACCGTTTTCCGTTCTCTCTCTCTCTCCCCCTCCCCTCTCTATTTCAGGTAGTTCGTACGGCCAGAAATTGAAATCGAAACTCCTCGAAACGGACAGGGCCTTTTGCACACCTCTTGCAGGCAGGCAGACTGGCTGGCTGGCTGGCTGTACATTAGAGAGGTCACTGACCTTGCCTGCCTGCCCGTCCGTCTGTTTGTCCCCGTGTTGTGGATAGGGCCGCTACTCGTATTCGGGGCCTAGTGCCCAGTTCCTCATTCTGTCCGTTTTGCTTTCCACTTCCCTGTCATCATCAGTTATGACTGAAGACTGAGAGGAGACAAACGGTACCATGTAAGTCAAGGGTTTAAGAAATAAAAATCTAGGCAGTTGGGAAAAATTGGAGGAAGGCCATCCCCCCTCCCGCCCATCCCCCCTTCCTCTTCCTTCCCGTCCATCCATCCCTCTGTGTCGTCGTTTGACTTCTTTTTCTGCTGCTCCCACCCCCCCTCTTCAGTTAGCGTGCTCGCCACACCCCCAAAGGCCGCCGTCGCCATCGCCGTTCTTCTCTGGCTCTTCTGCATGCCTTCGGTTTGGCCCATGTTCCCTGTCACCGTCATCATAAACTACACTACCTACCTAGTAGTCGCATTCGCGGCCCCAATCCCAAGTCCAATCTCAATCCCAGGCTCCCCCAAGACCCTCGCCCCGGTCCCAAATCCATTCCTTTCCCAGCTTTCCAATCTGCGTCGCGCTGCACCGGGACAGGTATCTGCACCTCTCTGCTGCTCGCTGCTGCTGCTGCTGTTACCTACATCGTACCTACTGTGCATGCATCGACCCACCCTATGCTAGGTAGCCTAGCAGCTTCTCCTTTGGTAGGGATAGGTAGGTAACTACTACGTAGTATGTAATCCAACAGGCTCAATCAAGGCCGTTCCCTTTTCCCACCACCACCGACCCGCATCGCACCTGCTGATGCGACCTGCTCACCTGCGCTATCCTACCTCATCCGTTTTCATTGGCATTTTCCAACTCCCATTCATCTTGTCACGGTCTTGACTATTCCCTCCTGCCTCGCCCCGAGATTCGACGTCACAAACCCCGACCAAGCAGCCCACGCACGCCGTACGCGTCTGCGAGAAAGAAGATACAGACAGCACCCGATATCCCAGCTTCCGGAAGAATAACGCCACCGGAGCCCAACAGCAAAATTCACGAGGCTACCTACTCTGTACGGTACTGTACACTACCAACGCAACGGGGGGCCCTTGTCACTTCACCACCCCGTCGCATCCCATCCCATCCCCATCGCGTCGCAGCGCCTCGCTCCGCCATCACCTTGCCTTGTCTACCTTTCCCCTCGACCACTTGACCCTCCGTCTATCTGTCTGTCTGTCTGTCTGCCAGCGACGTAATCGTTGTCGACTCCGTCGCCATCCTA